AATTCAGGAAGTTATTATCGATTTTAAAAATGGTGTGAGAAATTATTAAAGCATGAAGAACTATTACCCGCAGGGCTGTTATTTCTTGCATTTGATAATGAACAAAGGGGACAGAAAAATTATCTTAATCAAGGGTTTAATACAGTAGTTTACCATATTGTTATCAGTTTCGTTAATTTTAATATAACGTCGCAAAACAAAATGCAACATATAGATTCACCTTGAACATATGATTTTCTTAATAGGTTACAATATGAAGAACTTTTTGATGTCAATCCCTAAATGCAAGAAGTCATTAATAAAGAATTATATGTTTACATTATCGATATTTTTAATTTATTATTCAAAGAAAAAATATCCTCTATTAATATTATTGATTCTCTTACAACATCTATAGGAATTAACATTACCAACATGAAAGAGTGTCCTAGCTATCATCAATGAAATATTGAAAATCAAAAAAAAACATGCCCAACATGTTAAATGTGATTACCAACATTAACCGATATGCAAAAAGAAAAAGTAAGCGAAATTAAGCATAGTATAATTGAAAATCCGTTTGTTTTTAAATCTTTTAACATTAATGATGAATCAAGTATTACATGTATTTCTAGGATCAGTGTTACTTAACAAAGAGTTACTGATCAAGGAGTTAATATTCCTGAAATTTATGTTCCTAATTTGATCAATATTAACCCTAATTCTATTGCAAATATTGAAAAGGTTCTTTTACACATAGAGACAATAACAAGTATTAGAGTTGGCACTCGTAAGTGGATAGCAGTAGTCTGTGATGGTGTTCTATATCATCATGCTATAAAATTAAAAGAAAAGTTTCTTTGGCTAGTACTTTTACCAGAACAACTGCATGAAGAAATGAATATGCTTTGAGTATTTGTAAAGTTAAACTGGTATGTAGTTACAATTCAGAAAATTTATCATTTCGCAATGCATAAAGAATTTTGTTCAACGTTCTTATACTGCTTCAATGCATTTATTCACTTAATAACTTAACTTTATATATTAGAAAAATTGATATAAAACAATTTGCAGTATGCTAAGGTTATCAAACAGATAATCAGCTTTCCTACTTTAAAAAATATGCAGACTATCACAAGTCTTGGGATTCTATCTGTAATATATATCATCAGACTATTTTTATAGAACTTATATGGCTGTATATAAAAAGCTATTTAGACTTATCAGTTGAAGGATATCTTGCTTGGATCAAAGAATAGCAAGATTCACTTTATCAGATAAAATATGAACAGGTCACTACTAATTTTTATTATTTTTATAGATATTAATATTAATTTTATTATTTTTATTTTAATAGACATTTGTTTATCTTCAAGCAATAATCAATTATCAAAAGGCTATAAGAACCAACAATCCTCTATTAAAGAGTGTTACTAGAAAAATGTTTTTTTTTTATTTGATCTGCAAAACGGCATCCTATCTACCGTCTAATAGAAGTTGCTGATGAAGTTTAATTGATATAGCTTCGTCTAGAAGTATGTGACGTTATAGAGAATAACTGCGTTATTTTTAGATCAGGTATTTACGAACAGCATCAAAAATTAGATGCAATTATTGAGGAAATAAACAAAACTTTAAAAACTTTAATACCTTCTGTCCTGCAACTCCATTATTAGAAAATCGTTGCACGTAATTGTAAAAAGCTCTCAAAGTAAACTTTTATTTTAATTAAATTAATTAGTAATATACACATTTAACAAACTTTAATTCATAATAAATTTTAGCTTAGAAATAACTTACTTAAAGTAATTGGATATAACGATTATCAAACCTTCAGACTAAAAACTCAGCCAAAATCAACTATAGAATGCCAGAGATTTTGAATTTATCTGCGAAGCCTTGAATTTGTGAATCAGAGTCTAAAAGAATACGAATTGAATGAAAATTTAAAAAATTTCACATACTTAGCAAAGCAAGCTCGACAAAGTTTTATTACCAAATTATTTATTAACAAAAATAATCCTCCTTTATTTAGGCCAATACCAATTTTAAAACAAGAAGCAAAGGCTCAAGAAAGTGAAGAAAATATGATCAAACCTAAAATTTTGTTAAAGATAAAAACTTTTCTTAGACAGTTTGAAGAAAATGCTTGGAAAAAATACTTTGAATTAAAGTCAAAAAAGTGAAATGAATTGATATATATATTACAAGAAATAAAGCATGTATTTAATTCAGATAATTTGGAGTGAATTGTTTTTTTATTTAGGCATTTCCCATCCAACATCAATTTTTTTGACAAAATTGGCCAAACTATCAAGTAAAATGAATATCAGAAAATATACTATAACCTCTTTTTATTTTATTTTTTAGTTATGTTTATTATAAAATAAAAATAAAATAAAAAAAATTATTGCTTTTTAAAAATTTTAATTTGATTACATAATCAATTAGAGCAAGTCTAAAATATTCTGATTGGTAAATTTATTATCATAATAGGCAATGATCGTCTGAATATATTTGGTATATTCCCTGACTGTATATAGGGATGGATGTTAATTAATTGTTAATTAACTGAGGAATAATTAACCATTTTGGTTAATTTTAAATTGACCAATCAAATCAAAGAAAAATTGACCAATAAAATTGATAGATTATTATAGATAATAGTCCTGTTCAGTTCTAGATCAGATTGTTTAGATCAGAAATTTTGCCCCTAAATAATTGGTTAAAAAAACGATCAGTAATTAATCAATCTGATCTATAAAAATTGGTGTTCATTTCTGACGATTTTATTACAACAGACACGTCTTTACGTCTAACTAAAATTTTTGAAGTTATAATCTTTACAATATCTAACTCAAGAGTCCCCTTTCATTCAATTGCTCCTAAACTACCTTCATAAGAAATTTCACAAGGTCCTTTACAAGACTTTTTACAAAAATCTCCACAAGAACTTCCACAAGAACTTTTGCAAGAACTTTCACAAGCTCTACAAGCGTTACAAGGACTTTCACAAAAACTTCTACGAGAATCTTTACAAAGATATTTGCAAGAACTATTTGTACAAAATCCTGATATCATTGCTATCACTTTACCACAAACCTTACCTAAAATTCAGGAAGCAACACCTTTGCCAATTGCAAGAGCTCTTAAAAAGAAGACTGACTGAAAATCAGGGCTTACTGAAGAAGAAACAGGTTGGGATGATAAAAATACAGGATTGTTTTAGGTTTTCTTGAGAATAATTTCACTGCTTATAAAAAAAACAAGTCCAACTTTGCTAAATCAGCTGCTAATAAGATTTTTCCAGAAAAGTCATGGAAGCAGATAAAGAATAAATTATCTCGTCTTACAACTAAGTATAATGAAATCAAGGAAAAGAAAAATCAAACAGGAAGAGAAGCATAAGCAAAATGGAAATAGTTTGATAGACTGGATGAATGCCTTATTTGGAATACGCAAAAATCATAATCCAGGGTTTTTAGTAGATGGTTTTTCTGATACTACTTAATTGTTTGACAGTTATAAAGAGAAAGAAATTAATGAAGAAGCTCCAGTGATAGAAATAAAAGACAAGGCTACCAAAAAATGAAAATCTTCTTCATAAGATTCATTGGCTGAAGCTATTATTTCTATGGGTAAAACATGTCAAGTGATTTGGAAAAAAAGGCTTGCTCTTGAAAATAAATAGTTTGGTAAATAGCAAGAATTCGAAAGAAAAGTTTGTAAAACTGAATCAGCTTTTAAAAGAGAAAAATTAAAGGTTAAACAAACTAAAGCTGAAACATTTCAAAAAAAAATGGAGTTTGAAATAGAGCAGTCACACATAGAGTATCAGCTTAAAATGAAAGAGTTAGACTTAAGAATGATGTAATATAAATCAGCTTTATAATAACACAATAATAGTAATAATAATAATAATATAATAATAATAGTAATAGTAATAGTAATCATAATAGTAATAAATAATAATAGTAATAAATAATAATTGTAATAAATAATAATTGTAATAATTGCAATAATCTTGATCAATTAAACCTTTATTAGAAAAATTATTTAAACTTTAAGTTTCTTTTAGCTTGCCCAGTTCTCTTTAAACTTTTATTATTCTTCCTTGACACATAAGTATCATTTTCATCTGTATCTATATCATCTGTATTTATATCATTTGAATTAACATCCTAAATATCTATATTTATTTCTAAAAAGTTATGCAAAATTATTGCACAACACGTTAATAAAACTCCCATTTTAACTGTTTTAATATCAAGGTCTTTTAATGCTTTAAATTTTGCTTTCAATCTCCCAAAAGAATTTTCTACTACAACTCGATGACATAAATGAAATTGATTAAATTCTTTTTGCTTTTGAGTACCTGGATCTTTAAAAGGTGAAATTAAAAAGGGTAAAATTGGATAAGCTGAATCTCCTAGAAGGTAATCATCTTCTTGGATAAGATTAGGATAATTTTTATAGAAAGAAAAATTTCTAAAAACTCGAGCATCATGTACAGAACCTGGTCAGTCTACATCAAAACTAGTAAAAATACCCTTATCATTTACAATACCTTAATAATGAATAGCATAACATTTTTTTCGAGTAAAATAAACTTCTGGATCTTTAGTTAGAGCATTTTTCATAGGAATATATGTTCTATTAACTGCTCTAATTACATTCTTAAGTCCTTCCAAATTTTCAAATCCCTCATGAACTTTTTTACGATCTTTTAAAACAGGCCACTTGACAAAAAGTTTTTTTTGTGATATGATTGCTTGAATAATACATTTAATATAAAGAATTACTATCTCTTCTTCTATTTCAAATCTTGAACAATGTTCAAATAAACTCCTAGTAAATCCAAGTTGACAAAGGAATACAGCTAATTGAAATTCAACATAAACTTAAGGTTTATTTCCTTGTGATAAAAATACAGGATAATAGCGTATAAGATCTGCTAATTGTTGAAAATGATGTGAAAACATTCACAAAAGTGGATCATAGGATGGAAAAACATTTTGCTACTAATGCTTTAATTTTACTATATAGTATATTCGTGACTTTAAATATCGTGTAGTTAATTGTTGTACTAAAGTAGCTTTTAAAATAATACTCTCTTCTTTCTCATTCGAAGTTCCCTCCTCTTCTTCAAGTTCCTCTTCTTCAAGCTCATCTAGAAAGGTTTTTAATAATAATACATTTTAAATTTGTTGTTTGCGATTCATGGTAAAAGTTAGCCAGTTGTAATATAATGATCAATCTGGTCGATCAAAAATTATACTCAATTGTAACTATGATTTGATTGGTTACTTTTTTTTCTGATCTGAACAATCTGATCTAGAAATAAACAGGGCTAATAGATCATCTTTTTTTCGTTTAACGTTAATATTTATCGAAAATTTAATTTTGAATATGTAAATTTTCCTTTTTTAACCTTTTTAATATGTAAAACCTAAAATTACGTTAAATAGCTTTACTTGTTCTCCTTGTTCTCCTTGTTCTTATTATTTTCAACTTATCAAATATTTGATTTATAAATAAAGTCAACATTTTTTGAAATACATTTTCAATAATTTCTTTGGTTTTTTTTATTCAAAATGGCAAAAAAGAAGGGAACTATTTGGAACCATTAGATGATTATTACACAAAGTTCAATAGAAAATAATGAGATTAAACCAAATTTACATCCTTCTATATAATATAATTATTGTTCTAAAGTTTTCAATAGAGCTGTTTCTTTAAGAATGCAAGCTCATTTTAATGGTGTTTAAATACATAAAGTAATGCTAAATTACAAAAACCATTCTAATATAAAATCCTATACCCTTAATATCACAAAACATCCTTTAACTAATACAAATACACCTCTTATTAAAAAAAATAGATCTAAAAAACAAATTAAATTAGATAATTTTGTTAATAATATGAAGGAAAAAGAATAGGAATCTCTTGAATTTTTACTAGTTCAGGCATTATATTCAGCTAGAGTACCATTTACCTTTGTTGATAATCCTTTTGTTATTCAATTTTTTAAATATCTTTGACCATCTTTTAAACTTTCAAATAAAAAGAAGATTGCTAATGAATTATTGGATGAGATTTATGAAGATATAAAGATACAAGCAGATAAACAAATTTCAAAAGCAACAACTCTTTGTATAGTTTCTGATAGCTGGTCTAACATTAATAGAGATTCAGTACATAATTTTGTTATTTGTATTTCAAAACCATTTTTTTTTGATGCAACTTTTTCAAGTAAAGAATCTCATATAACAGAATGGATTGCAGATCAAATAATTTAACAAATAGATATTATTGGTATCCAAAAGTTTTCAGCAGTCATTACAAATACAACTAATGTAATGAAAGCAGCATAAAGAAATATTAAAAAAAATATCCTAATATTGTTTGTCTTAGGTGTAATTCTCATATTATTAATCTTTTAATTAAAGATATTTTATGTTTT